TGATCCAAGAAGAAGGAAGTCCTTGACAACTTCAATCTTTCCTCCACTGATAAGAATGTTGTTTATTGGTCCAGTGGTGAGGACTTTTGTTTTCTTTACATTGAGATGTAATCCATATCGAAGGCTGTGCTCTTTGATCTTCATCAGTAAGTATTTTAAGTTCTCTTCATTTTCAGCAAGCAAGATTGTATCATCTGCATATCGCAGGTTGTTAATGAGTTTTCCTCCAATCTTGATGCCATGTTTTCCTTCATATAACCTGCTTCTCAGATTATTTGCTAGGCATACAGGTTGAATGAGTATGGTGAAAGAATACAACCTTGTCACACACCTTTCTTAATTTTAAAACATTCAGTGTTCCCATGCTCTGTTTGAACAACTGCCTCTTGGTCCAGGTACAGATTCCTCATGAGCACAATGAAGTGTTCCAGAATACTCATACTTCTCAGTATTGTCCATAGCTTGTCATGATCCACACAATCGAAAGCCTTTGCGTAGTCAATAAAGCACAGGTAAACATCTTTCTGATAAGCTCTGCTTTCAGCCAAGATCCATCAGACATCAGAAATGATATCTATCGTTCCATGGCCTCTTCTGAATCCAGCTTGAACCTCTGGAAGTTCTCTGTCAATGTATGATTGTAGCCATTTCTATGTATTCCATCTGGTGAGGTCCATGTGCATAGTCGTCGCTTATACTGTCTAAAAAATGTATTTGAAATGAACAAATCATTGGTTTTGCAGAATTCTATCATGCATTCTCTAGCATCATTTCTATCACCAAGGCCATATTTTCCAACTACTGAGCCTTCCTCTTTGCTCCCAATCTTTGCATTCCAATCACCAGTAATAATCAATACATCTTGATTGCATGTTTGATCAATTTCAGATTGAAGAAGTTGGTAGAATTATTCCATTTCATCCTCACTGGCTTTAGTGGTTGGTGTGTAAATTTGAATAATAGTGGTATTAACTAGGCTTCTCTATAGGCACATGGATATTATCCTATCACAGACAGCATTGTACCTCAGGACTGATCATGGGTATGTTCTTTTTGACAATGAATGCAACACCATACCTCTTCAATTTGTCCTTCCTGGCATAGTAAAGCATGTAGTTGTCAGATTCAAAATGGCTAATACCATTCCATTTCAGCTCACTAAGATATGGATGTTTATGCGTTTCACTTCATGTTTTACAATTTCCAGTTTTCCCAGATTCATACTTGGTACATTCCATGATTTTCAGTGGATGTTTACAGCTGTTTCTCTTCATGTTGAATTGTGCCCTATCAGCAAATGAAGGTTCCATGGGTTTTTCTCCCACGAGATTTACTCCATTCACTTTATCATGGTCAACTCTACTTTGAGAAGGCAGCTCTTCCCCAGTTGCATTTTGAGTGCCTTCCAACTTGGGGTGGGGGTGGGGGGCTCATTTTCTGGCACCGTATCCGACAGTGTTTCTCTGCTATTCATAAGGTTTTCAGTGACTATATATTCGGAAGTAGTTCGTCACTCTTTCTTGCTAGTCTGTCTTTGTCTGGAAGCTCATCTGAAACCTGTCCACCGTGGGTGACCCTGATGGTATTTAAAACACTGGTAGCATAACTTCAGAATCACAGCAACTCACAAGCCCCCACAGTACGACAAACTGACAGATGAGTGGTGGCTGTTTTGTTTTAAGTTGAAACTGTCACTTTAAATTTTGAAGAGATCTGTGCACATGCATAGTAGAACCCTCCAAGGGTGGGGGTGGGGTGTCCATTAGCTCAGGCATCCCCTCTAGTCACCAGAATGGAGGCGTGCAGACAGCTAGAGACCTATGAACAGATATCAAAAAGGAATGTCCACACCTGTATCTCTGTGGTTCTGTAAGGTGTTCGTGGCTATTTTGATCCTTCCCACACTTGGTCTCTGTCAGGCGTTCGTGGCTATTTTGATCCTTCCCGTACTTGGTCTCTCCCAAGATGGCGGTTGCAGGAGTAGCTGAACATCTTAAATTAGAAAGCAATGGATTTCTTGATTCTGCTACAAATTCCCCTAGCTGTAAGCATTCCAATCTTCTAAATATTCCTTAATATGTAGTTCAGAGTTTTAGCACCATCCCCTGAGCCTGCTTGGTCCAGTATTCTGTGTTGTTGGTGACGGAGCTCCTCACTGCATGTCTACCTGATCAGCCATCTTAGATGTATATATATACCTGTAAGGACTTACAGGCTTCGAAATGCTATGGGGTGGTTTTACCCTGTCTTATAGGATCTTGTATGAGTCAAAATTAACTTGATAGCAATGAGTTACGTTGGGTTTACTGCTAAATGCATACTGATCTCACTGCCATCAAGTCAGTTCCAACTTACCTGGAATGGATGAAAATCTTGACGAGAGCAGAAAGCCTTGTTTTTCTTGTGTAGACTGGCTGGTGGATTTGAACTGCCAACCTGTAGTTAGCGGTCCAGTGCTTATCCTATATCACCACCAGGTCTCCTAAATGTATGCTAATGATGTCTAATACTTGCCTTAGCATACACACAAATCATGATGTAATAATTGAATCTGTCTTAAAAAGATGTGTAAGGATTCACATGTATTCTGTGTTCTTCTAAACACTGGCTGTGAAGAAATCACATTATTTTATTTATTTATTTATTTATTTATTTATTTATTTATTTATTT